TCTAAATTTATCTATTTACCCCCCCCCTCCTATATGTATGTAAAGTTTCATCAAAATTAAAATGTTCGAATTCGCGAGGTTCCCTTATTAGTTTTTGATTTTCTAGTGCCGAAACGGCTCATTTGCAGACACGGGTTTATTGGCAAAATTGGCTTGTTTTGGGGTCCTTTATAACCGCCTGAAGTTTGTCGGTCTAATTCTGGGACACTCTGTATATGTACATACATACAACTCAATTCAACTTGTTATTAATTCAACAATGTTACTAAACTCTATTAACAGAGTTAATGGATTCTGTGTTTAGCGCGCTTAAAATATATTCTGTAAAATAAAATAGTATTTAAATGTGTAGCTCTCTCGGCTTTTTATAACTACTGTCACAATTATTTACTCATATAGAAAAGCGTATTAAAATATCAAGGATAATATGCTTATGTGTGACTATATAATAATAATAATAATAATAATAATAATAATAATAATAATAATAATAATATACATATAATAAATATAGTGTATACGTTTATAAAATTACATAATGTAGCAACATGCGTGACAAAAATGTAAAAAATTATATCTCTTTAATTACGAGTTCAAGTTTTAAACTTTTGCCGAGAATAATATTAGTAGACAATTCGAACAATGGCAAGATTATAAATCACAAAAATTGGCAACTTGACACAAATGGCTGGAGGATATTGTGCGAGTGACACGCATACAAATATCATCATGAGACTGGTTTCGTAGAAACATTGAAATTAATCGGACCCCCGTCGAATTGATGAATTCTGCAATTTCTTTCCAGCATTATTTATACTTATTTTGCAAGCAAGAAATTCGGAATTTGTATATTTCGAGAGCAACAAATTCAGACAATATATCAGTACCAAATTTAAGCAAGCAACAAATTTTGTTCTGTTAGTTTACTCTTATAAATTTGCACACTGTGCGGTTTTCCGGCATTATTTTACTTATTTTGCAAGCAACAAATTCGGAATTTGTATATTTCGAGAGCAACAAATAGCAACAAATTCTTATATTATTGTTATGTACAATTTTGTTTCTATATATATATATTATTCCACTAACTTAATCTTCCTTTAGCGGAACATAATTTTTTTTTTAAACTTACAGAGCAACAAATTTTTTTCTTTGGCAATTTTTTAGCAACAAATAAGCAACAAATAGAAATATTAATTAGAATTGGTTCTGCTCATTTTGTTCCTCTAATTTATAAGGCGTGTTAACGATCTCGCGAGTAATTTCGCGTGCCGGCGAGAGCGACGTTGAACAAAGTCCGAAAAGCCGAACAACTACCGGGCTGTTCTTTCCCTCTCTCTTTTTCTCTCTCGAATCTCGAGCGAGCGGATGAGGGTAAAGAGAACACGCAGAGATAAAAGTGCGCTGCGAAACGTTGCTCTTCGATCGCGGCGCTCTCGCAGCCGAATCGGGCTGCGTGAATCCGTAGAGGCCCGTAAAAGAGGCGCGTCTCGCCTCGTCCTTCCTTCTCCTGCCTGCCGTAAAACCACCCACGAGCCGACATTCATAGGGTGTATCAAAGAATATTATAAAAAGGCAGTAGCTATAAATCCTAAAATGCTTCTGAGAAATCGTTCAAATTTTTCGACGAACAGTTTTAATGGCTCTAAATTTGTGTGTCTGTGTGGATCTTATACACAAAATATATTCAATAAATAAATTAAACATGTTTTACATGTTTACTATATGAAAAGTCAAATTCGATAAAATTATTGTTATAATTTAAATTATAATATTTCAATCCTCGTAAAAAAAGAACAAAAGAACTACTTATTAATCAGATTGTTTCATGTTTTTCACAGTAACAATGTTTTTAAACAGTGTCGAATCATATAAATCACTTTGATGCAGAACCTACTTTTAATATAAATATCACTGTATAATAATTATAATAATCATAGAATGCACATTGTATATTTTTTCCACGACACCCTGTATGTCGTGTACCGATCAAGGCTTGAAACGCGGAGGAAAGGAGGGTAAAGGCGTACAAGAGAGAGCAAAAGAGAAAGAGAGAGGAGACACACAGGTGTATATCCAGCTCGATCATACACATGTATTCTCACACACACATACAGGACAAGCCTTTAAAATTGACTGCGGGTGACCGAGAGCCGAGCGAGAGGGCCGGCGCCGGCGGTCCCCCTTGACAGCCATGCGAACAAGTCTCGGTCGCGGATAAGGACCGCGCGCACGCGCGCATGCGCTGTTGCCAGCGGCTCCCGGGCCCGGACCGCCACCGAAGTCAATTTCCCGAGGTCGGGGAAAAGGGAGAGACCCCGTGTTGTCCCCCCCCCCCCTCGTAATGCCTTCAACCCCTTTAACCCTTCGACACTCGAAACCGAACGGGAGTTCATTCACAGAGACGAAGCGGGCCGCGATACGGAATATATATACGAAAACGTCACGCGATCCCGGGCGTGAAACTGACTTATCGTCTGGAAAATCTCTTGGATTATTGAGAGTTCTAGCTTTCTTTTCGACAGTGCTTGTGACATACATACTTCGATCACCGAATTAATCTTGATTTCGGTTATCAAAAAATCTGAAAGTTAAAAAAAATACTACCCTCTACTAAAGGAAAAGTAATCTCGATATATTATATTCTAGGGCTTTCAATAAGTTGAATTATTTTGTATTGTTTCGTACTAAACAGAATATCGTGTTACACGCATTTTTTTTTCAAGTCCGAGAATTCGAACGCGAAAAACATCTTCGAGCATTTCCGTATATGTTAAATTTGCGTCTGGTCTATCCCGCCTTGCTGGTTTGTCGCGCTTCGTAATATCCTTTCCAGCCGTGTAATTCTTAAGCAGAAACGCACAACGAGAAGAGAGAAGAGTCGTTTCCGTACATAACATTACTACAACTTGTTCCCTAAAGGCTCGTGTTCTGCGTGCGGAACAACACCTGTACATTTGTGCCGCGGCCGGTTAGAGTCGGGTTCGATTACGTTACGTTATTTCGGTCAGACTTTACGAAAACGTTACGTCGCCTAAAGTCATATGGTCGCCTGGGCGTCATATGTTTATGCGTTCCGATTTCTGTAACAGATCGTTGCGCGACCAGATGTCGCGTATATATTGGTATATGTATATGCCACAAGCGACTCTTACAAGTCGAAATTTGTGTCGCACGTTTTATCGAATCATAAAAATATTAATTTATTATATTGATTTAATCTAATTAATATATATACATTTTTTAAATCTTAATTAAACAATTGTATTTCTTTTTTCTCTCAAGTTGATTACGTTAACATTAACTTTTCGATAAGATTAAAATAAAAACAAAATACAATAATCAAGAAATTGATCATCTTAAAAATTTCACGAGTTTTTGATAAAAGAGAAAAAGAGAAAAAAGCAAGCACACAAAAAAAAGTTTGTAAGTTGCGTGTTGTCGGAGGAAAAAAAAATATATATATGTATTTCTTCCAAATCTAACAAACTTCGAGAAATTTTTTTTTTTAATGCTTGATCAATTTCGTGAATCTTGACTCTTATTTTCATCGATTTATTTTCGAAAAAAATGTATCTCAAAATGCACGAAGGGCTAGGAGTTTAAAGATCACAACGGATCCGCGAATCGAAGGATAAAGATGTCGGGGACGACACGGCGTGACCGAGAAACCAAGTGACCCGGCGATACGCGAACGCCAGAGTTAACGGCGTTTGTCCGCGGCGGATCGCGCGCCTCCTCCGTGTACGTTCTCTTATTGTTAGTTTCCCGAGTCACCGGCATCTTGCACGAGCGAGGAACGGTTCCAGGACTCGGTGGTGCGCGAGAATCCAGGTTGTGATCGCGGATACGACAGGAAAGAAAAAAAAAGATGAAAATTGTGCAAATTAGAAACTTGCACATTGCTTCCTTATCATTTTATTTCGCTCACAAAGCATAAGCTTCTTAAAGCAAATGAGTTTTTCAATTTTGGCTTCCTTATAGAGGAAAAAATCTCAAAAATTTGCAAAAGTTAGAGCGTGTACAAACATTTCTCAAAAAATTCAAAATTTTATAAAAAATGAACCCTTTCACCGATTCTTACTAAATTCAATACCAACCATCCTTTAATGATACTCTATTCATTTTAAAAAATTTAGCCCAATATCTCAAAAATTGCGGAAGTTAGAAGTTGTACAATACATTCTGTACATTCACACACGCACACACACACACACACGCACACACACGCACGCACGCACGCACACACAAAAAGAAAAAAGAAAAGAAATAAAACCAGAAAAGGCGATCTTTTTCTTTTTTCCTCTCTCTCTTGAACGATATGGAAAGTTCCCAATAAGCAAAAACTCATTAATATAACATTATTACAACAATATTCAGTAATATGTAATGTTGTTAATTATGTAGACGTAGACTATAACGTTGTAATCGACATCATTATGAACAAACTTTGACACCGATTTTAAAGTTTTAATAATATTGAAATGGGAGCGCCTTAATAATTGCGAATAATTTTGCGCAAATGTTTTTCTTATAACGTGTAAAAATAACATTAAAAATAATATTTGAAATAATGTTTTGAAAACGTTTCAATGACATTCACAAAAATATCATAAAAATTATCAAATAATAGAACAGTCTACGAAATTTTCATGCTTTTGTCAATGTTTTGATATATGACACATACATCCTCCGTTCCAATAATTACGTAATGCGTTCGATATATCGCATAAAATGTATACAGATGACGTATAAATTAAAAAATTTTTCTCTAGTAATAATCTCTCTCGTAAAACTTTTCTTCCATTCCGAGGAAAAGGGAGAAGAGCGGATCGAGACCATACCGGGCCTTTCGCATGAACCGATAGTTTGTCTTTCGGTGATGACGCGCGCAGATAAAACCTGCACCGATACTCATTATACCGCGCCAGTTGCTAGCGTGCTCATTTGATTAATACCCACGTGCAAGGGTATACGAGAACACAGGGAGTTCAACTTACCAACAGTCCGGTTTCCACACTCGGCAGCAATGTGAGCCGACTGTCGTTCTGTAGACCATTTTCCGCGAGCGTTCCTTCGCGCAGTTGCCTAAAACAAAAATATCAACAGGATGGTTATCGTTATGATCGTCGCAAATTTTCGAAATAAAATCGCCATCCAGTAATGCAAAATACACATTAAAAAAAAAAAAAAAAAAAAAAATGTCTGATATCGGAGAAATTTTTTATTAGATAATGTGCCTAATTATTTGTATGAATATCATTTTTCCTCGACGTACATAAGATTTATGGCCATCCATTTTACCGGTAAAAAAATGCGCGGTAAAGAATTACCATTTACAGTACTCAGAGTCGTAGTAGTCGAGAATATAATTACTTTGCTTTTACCCCGGAGACTTCAAATCGAGCTTGTTTTAAAGATGATTATAGAAGAGCCGGGGCAAGATTTCTCCGAAAAATTAGTCGTCGCGGAACACGAAACCTAACGCTCGATCCGCTCATAAAATCGTTATGATCCTCTGACGAAAGAGTTTCTTCATTACATCTGCTCTCTCGTTGGATCGCTCTCGAGAGGCCCAAAACTGAATATTCGTATACGACGATAAAATTGGGGCTTTCTGAAAACGTCCGAAATACAACCCGTTCGAGCGTGTTAAACGAGAACACTTCAAAAAGCAAGATAAAGGAAGAAAAAAAAGAAGACGAAAAATAAAGCAATACGCAAACCGCACCAAGAGAAGGTATTCGCAATCGATGAAAAATACATACTTGTATGCAACAGCCGACAGAATTGGGTCGTCTCGCTTCGACATAAACATCCCGGTCTATATATTGGTGTATACATTGATTTTCTTTAACTCTCTCTCTCTCTCTCTCTCTAAATAAATGATACAACGAATATAAGTTATATTTTTTTTGTCCGCGTGTTTGCGGAACTGTTGAAATAACCGATACGAGGGAAACATCGTCATTTGTATTCATTGAAGAAAATTTATCACGACTATCTATTTTCCCATTTGATAAAAAAACAAGCTCTTAAAATGGGATGACTAACTGAAAGTGCTGATGATGAAGAAAAAAAAAGAAACATTTTTCCAGACTTTGCGTCGTATTTCTGGCAATCAAAGTCCATTCGCAACTCGGTTCGCACGCACACACGTACGCACTATCGCGAGGTTGCTGATGCAACCGCTACCAAGAGCGGAAATCGACCGAAATAAACACGCGTGCGTGTAAACGCGCGCGATAAAAAGCCGCTTTAGAGAGGCTCAATGAGCGGAAACGTGAGGCGTAGGAGATACCCTATTATTTTTGAAAATAGCAAAATCCGAACAATTATACAACGTGAAAGAAAATAAAGCAATGATTATATAAATTGGTTTAAAGTTTTTAATATTATTTTTTGCACCGCACGTGTCGCGAATTAAAGTAGAATCTTGCTTTCTATTTTCCTTTACTGACCTCTACATTTATATTTCATGTTATATAATTATTATTTAATTTTATATTATATAATACAGTAAAATAATTATATTATGGTGAACAATAAAAATAATTTACATCATTTAATTTAAACGCGCAAACACACAAGCCATAACCACATAAATAACCTATTTATTTTTATTATTTCTACTGCTACTCTCTTTTCTTTGTTATTTCAAGATTTTTTTTTCTTAATAGAAGGGAAATCACGCATTGATAAAACTAAAAATAGCATCGCTATCGACCACGTCATTAACCGTTGTAGTAATTTACTTAACGTCATCCGATTTATTTCCAATTCGCCGTCTTCGTATCTTCGATGTTCTTACCGTGCGCGATTACAGTGATAAAGCGCAAAACGCCTTCCGGTATTGTCCGATATCGCGTATACGATTACATTGCAATAGCACGTCGGTGCGTTTTACGCGCGCGCACGAAAAACGCGAGCCACGGCAATATACAAGTCTGCGCGGCCTCGTGGCTGGCATTGACGAAACCTGTGATAACTGTGATCCGTCGCATAGAAAGGAAACCGATAAGAAAACGTCGACCCAGAAGATTTAGACCGCACGACTCCTCCAGTTACATCGTATCGAATAACGTGTAAATGTAGTAACGATATGTGCGGTCTCACAGATTTACTCTCGATCCCAATCACAATGAATATTGCGTTGTATTATTTAAGGATGTATGCGTCATATGTCCAAACATTGACAAAAACAAAAATTTCGTAGACTGTTCTACTATTTCTTCTGAATATCTGTGCAAAATCTGAGCACAATTCTCTTAACGGTTTGGAAATTATTTAAGCTTAAAATTTGTATTGATTCTTATGAAAAATCGCATATTGTATCACTTATTGACAAGGAAAAAAACATTGTCAGAGAAGCAAAAATTTTCATATGTATTAAAATTCCAATAAACATTTCTAATAAACAATTCTAATAAACATTTGCGAAACTTGATTTAGATCTACTTATTCGTTTAAAAGTTATTTATTAAAAATTGTAGCAAAATACGTATAGTAACCCAAAATCTTCCTGTAAATTACTCGTTTTTTTAATTTCTTGCAGTTGATTTCAAGGGATATTCACAGCCAAAAGTGTTTATTTATTATAAATTTATTATAAATTAGAGAAAATATTAATCACAATTATTTTCTTTTATAAAGACGTTAAAAACCATATTATTTTGTAACATTTTAATTTTTTTTATAATTCAGATCTATTTATTTAATTTTCCAAACCGTATAAACATAAGAACTATGGGTAAATATTCACATTAAATCAACCCCTCCAAAAGTTAATGACCTTGATATGTTGTCAAGGTCATGACTCCGAGAATAATATCCAAGAAGATTTCGCTGTCGCTCGTTGTTTATTAAAAAATTATTAACAATTAAATTATACGATAAGAACAAGTTAAATACGAAATCCTGGACTTCTTCGATTAAAAAAGAACCATGAATTTTATATTAGTTGTATATTTAAGTATTCATGTAAATGCGTGGGCGGGGGAGGGACTCCGTCCCTTGACGCAATTAAGCATTGACAAAAGTTCCGCAACGATATATCACATTTTATAATAAAATATAATCAGTTTTATATCATTTACATTTATCTATGTTAGAAAAATAAAAATATCAATATGTAAATATATAAATTAATCTTTGAGCTCTATTGCGCTTCAAGAGCCATCCTTATTCTCTTCATTTTTATACGTAAAAGAAATTAAGCTGGCAACGCATATAATCTCAAGAACTAGAACCAAAAGAGACCGAGAGATGTGTACTTTGTGAGCTATCCGTCCGTCTCTAACGTCATCGAGCAAGACGTATGGAGAATGCGCTTCGTTCAAATATAACCGAAGCGCGGGGAAGGACGAGAGGAGGGGATGAAGGAAGGGAGCGGCATGTTCAATGCCAGATCATCCCGTGTGTCCCGGGTTATTGTATCCTCAAACCATTTTCATGAGCGCCAAAATGCCCGTCGTTATCTCTCGGCTCTGACGAATGGCCCAAACATGCACATTCTTATTCCTCGGTCCTCAGTCACTCGGCCCAGTGTTCCGATTAGGGACCGGCTGTACGCGCATGTGCGGGAATACGGCATCAGTAAAGTATCTGCACGCATCATGTACATCGCTAAAGGTACCTTTACATGGCAGCGTTAAGCGTCGAGCGTCTGCGTAGAAAATTGCGCAGAATCTAATTTCAGCCTAGAATCTATCTCTTTTAAATTCTGCGCATTTTTCTGAGCCGACGCTCGACGCTTAATGCTGCCATGTAAAGGCACCTTAATTCTCACCGTCGCGCATGCGCAAAAGCACGCATGCGCGTACAGCCGTTCCCTAATCGGAACACTGACTCGGCCGCGTAAAAAAGAGTTAGAGTTAGAGTTCTGGGTGCCCCCGAAGAGTTCTAGAGTTCTCTATCAGTTTTAGAAATAGTTCATTTATTCATCGCGATATTTACGCGATACGCAAGGCAATTATTTAAATGACGAAGCGGGAAAGACTTAAAGCTTACGCAATAATCGACACGCAAGGTTGTAATCAATCCGAGGTCAAATTATATCTCGGTTATTAAAATCATCGGTCTGTTAAAGAGTTTAAGCTATTGTGACCTGTGTTGAACGCGCAGGATATATTCTATTATTTTTTCTAAATACATATATTACTCCTCGATTTTTATCTTAAATCGCATTAATTACACTGATTAAGTTCATCCCGCATATTTATATATAAACAGGGTGTCTCTGTTCAAATCTTGTAAAAACATTCCATGATCTTCCAGATATTTTTGTTTAAAATTATAAATAAAGAAAATATTTTTAAAAGTTTTTGGTGCAACTCTTTCTCTAAAATAAGTTTTTTTTTATATTGTATACGCTTTTTAATGTTTTTCACTTAAACGAAGAAAAAATATAGAGCCATTAAAGTTTCCAGTGCTAAATATGCAAATTACCAACAAAAAAAAAAATTGAAAAGCTTTCGTAAGATAATCGTTTTTAACTTGCATAACATTTTCATTTTTTATCACTAAAAATTACAATAAAGAATATGTACTGCATATTCGATATTTTTTTAAGACATTCAATATATATATATATAAACGGATATAGATATATTTTTATAATATATTATAAACACATATTTGTCGATAGAGTTGGCAAAATTCCGTATTTTTTGGATAAAATCCGTACCAGTAATAAAAACCAGTATTTTCCGGGAAAATTAATATGGATAACTATCGAGCACTTAATTATTTAATAGGACTTTACTCTTATA